GCAGAACTGATCCCACGGAAGCAGGTCATCCTGGCAGAAAGAGGCCTGAGCCCCAGGCCCTGGAGGGTAAGCAGACTCTGGCACTGGAGGTGCAGAGGATTCACGTGGCCCAACAAATTGAAGACCTGGAGTGGGAGCTGTCCCTGCTCCTCCAATGGCAAATGATAGCTAGAGAGCAGAAAGGAGCTAATCCGGCTACAGGGCACTAAGTCACAGTGAGGTGGCCACCTGCAGAAGGCAGCTTCTGCACCAAAGATATCATGGTAGGAAACAGAGGGTGTCTGCAGCTGGGTATGCTGGGAACCAGACTATGTGAAGGTTAAATTGCCACCACAGCAGGACCTCTGATTGGGTTGGAAAACCTCATAATCACAGTGCTACAAAGACAAGACAACACCACAGCTCAGGCCGTGGGGGACCGAAGACATGGGCTGCTGACACTCCCTGTTCCAGAGCAATAAAGCTGCTAAAATTAGAAATCAAAAAGTTTTCTTAATTGGCGAGATTTACTGCCTCTGTTTCTCAAAGCCCTTGTCATTTCTGCAGGCTTTTGCCTCTGATGTGCCCCTCTCTTCCGGGACCACCCCCGATCTGTGGAAACCTGTTAAGTACTCTAAGATCCAGAAAGACTTGTCTTTTCTCTCAGAGAGTTCTAGCCTTCCTGGATTCCCCAAAAACCATATTCCATTATCACTTTTTATTTAAGCCTTTGCTGTAATTCACTTTCGGAGGTTAAGAGCTAGGCCAAGTCTTCAGCAGGGGGCTGTGCAGGTTTATGACAACTCCCATCATGGACACCTGTGTCATAGTCAGCCTGGAACTTGACACGTGCTGAATTCTGATTGATCCTTTGAAGGAGGGACAATAAAGCTGCTAAGGTTGAGAAAATCAGTGTATGCTATCATCATTCTCTTATTCAGGTCCTGGTTATTGTGTCATCTTCAGGCCAGTGGCTGTGAACAGTCACTCAGTGTACCTGGCTCAGGGTAAGAAGTGCCCAGTTAGGGTGCAAGAACAAAGGTGTGGCACAGTTAGTCCAAGCCCCACTTTCCATCTTGCTTCTGCTGAGTTTCCAAGGTCGATATGACTCCAGCCTGGATAACAGGGAGTAGATGTTACAAAGCCTAAATGCCAAGGGCCTTCATCACCAGGGGGTACTCCCTGAGGACAGGCAGAGCCCAGCTAATCAAACAGCAGCTCTCTGGCCCCAGGATGCCCAAACCTCCCACACTCTGTGCCTTGTGAAAAATTTCTTCCTGAAAAGGTCTGTCTTTCACTACCCTGTCTCAGCTGGAGACATTTCACCTCCTGACCCATCCCAGAGCCCATGCACCCACCACACTTCTCCTGACTCCCATCCTGATCTCCCCCTCCTTGATCCCCACCTACATGCAGTTCCTACCAGTCCCTTGTGCCATATGGAGTCTCCTCCTAAAAAGAGCTCCTCAGAACAGTGTGCACTCACTCCCAGACCCTCATCACACACACACACACACACACACACACACACACACACACACACACACCCCTCTGGGCTCACTGTTTTATAAGTACAGGATATTAAATGACCCATAAATGCTTTGTGAATGCAGCTGGCATAGGGCTCTAACCAGAGGTCACACAGTCACATAAGGAGGCCACAGCAGCCCTTGAGGGACAGCACACATAACAGTGCAGAATGGAGGACCAACCTGATGGATGAACTAGAATGGAGGGAGGAGCTCAGAGAAGAGGGACATGCTGCAGCCAGAGTCCTTAGGGACAGCATCAAGGGATGCCTGGCTAGCCACCTTCAGGTGTGGACAGAGGATGCTTGTGAGAGGAGGGAAGTAAAGAGCTTCTCAGGCTACTGGGAAGAGTGAGAGACACATGCATAGTAGTAGCCAGAAGGACCAGAACAGCCTCTACTGCAAAGAGGAGCCTGCAGAAGGAAGAAGGCACCCTGAAGCCTGTGAGCCACCAGCAGGTGTCAGCAGTTCACTCTGTGATGTGGCCCTGGCTGGAGCAGCATGGCCCTGGGCTGTGTTCTCAAAGACTCCCTCTCCATTCAGAGCTCCATGTCAGCACCACTGAGCAAGGGAAAAGGGGTATTGGGTCCTCCCTGGAGACCATAGGAGGAGGCAGGAGGAACTCTGGCTTTTCTGGCTGATTTGACCTTCTCAGAAATGTCATCACAGTTCTGTGTAGGAATATAATCCTGTCCCATCAGTAGCACCAAGTCCTGGGCAGGACAAGACAGTTACCTCAACTCCAAGTAGAAAAAGAGCCTGAGGATACTGGTTCTCCTCTTCCCTGGGCTTCCAGGCAGCTCCCTTCATGTTCAAAGTGCTGCCCTGCAGGCTCTAGGGTGGACACCACTGGCCTGAGTGACCACATTTGTCTTCATACATGGATGGACACAAGGTTCAGGAGAAATCAAAGCCCAGAAGTAAGCTGCAGTTGTGGGGTACGTTAGCCAACAGTCAGTCCTTAGGGGGCAATGTCCACGAGTCTGTAGTATTCTCCTAGGAAGAGCTTGCTCACTGCAGGGGAGACGTGTCCATCAGACCTGAGCCCAGGGCCATCTCTTACAGGACCTAAGTCAACTACTGGCCCAGCTAACAATCAGAAAACTCATAGACCAGCATCCTTTGAGTATAGGCATCCACTCAGAAATTGAATGTCTGGGCCAGGCTTCCATCACTGCCAATGCTGGGTCTCCAGCTCACCAAACAGGTGCAAAGACACCACAACAGGGAGCTCCAGGGCCGCACCCAAACAGGGACTTGAGGAAGCCAGCACATTAAGTTCACCTTACCAGTTCATAACCTGGGACAAGTTTTTCAACCTCTTATCTTCAGTTTTTGCACAGCTAAGTGCACAGGGTGGCAAGGCCCATTTCACAGGCCTGGAAGAAGGCTCTATGGGTATATAATTAAGCTCTCAGAACAAAGATTATGCCAGTCAATGTCAGCTATCCCCACTGTGTCTGTCCATAAGAATCCATTTCTATTCAGACCTTACTATGTATAAATATATATACACAGAAGGCATCCTCCTAACACCAGGTCTGCCCTCTTTAGACTAACACAAATATAGCAGACAGAATCTCAGCAGCTGAGGCAATTGTTTGTTGGTTGATTGATTGGTTGGTTTTTTTCCTGAAGCACAGGAAGGGTGGTAGAAACACAGGAGAGGCAGAGCTCAAAAGGGTCCTGGAAGGGCTTTGTGGACAACTTGACACTGAAGCTGAACCGATTCAGAACTCCAAACCAGAGATGGAGGTGTCTGGATAGAGGAAATGATGGGAACTGGGCCTCGACCAGGAAGATGAAGCAGGTTCAGGGATTGTGGTCTAGTATGGATGAGTCCCAGAGTGGCTAAGCATAAACAGGGGTGACACTGTGGGCCTGTGGAAGCTGAGGATCCAGAGTGCTGGGATTATTCATATACACCATGACTTTCAGCTCCGAGCTTCTTAGTTGTAGAATTTCAAGGAATTTCCTAAGTGAGGAGGCCAGGGAAGAAAGGGTGTGACAAGTTTGGGGAATCCAAGGACATCTTGGTAAATAAGAGCTTTCCCTCACGTACCTTCACTCACGGCCTCATTTTCTATCTATGTATTTAAGGGTACAAACACCCAGAATTTGACTGCTTTTTAAAATCTCAGCTTTTCAATTCTTATCAATTCTGGAATCTTCAATTCTGAAAGAGCTGGATAAATAATCAATGCTGTTGCTACCCCAAATGCTCAAGAAATCCCCCTGTAACAGCTCACTGACTTTTCCCTCTGCTTGGTCAAGTTACACACACGCTGTTGGAGCCCACTGGGTCCAGGACCTGGACCGGTGCTGGGGGAACAGATCCCACAACTTCCCCATTCAGAGTCATCACCTGGTGAGTGAGAGGATGTGACCAAATAGTGCTACTTATGACAGGCCATCATACCTCTGGTCAGAGCCCAATGTGGATTCCTAGAAGCAGAGCTATTTTTTCAAGAATGCAGATCACAGATCTGACCATCAAAGACACCTGAGAAAGCGACCACAACACAGGCCTAAAGAAAGGTCATAAGCAGGAGCAGTGGGGCCTGAGGTGAAATGGGTCAGGAGTGGTTGGGGCTGCAGGGCCTGCTCACCCCAGGAGGAACTCAGAGTGGATTTTCCCGGCAAGAGATGTGGACTGTTACAGCAGTTTTAGGTTTACTGGGGGCAAAGAAACAGCAGCTTAAGAACTTAGAGAAGTGGAGGGAACCAAACTTTATTACTCCATTTGGCTCAGAGGAACAAAGCTCCAGCCCCGAGCTGGCATAGGAAGTTACTTTCATACCATTTATCAGGTAGCAGGGGTCTTCTATGAGGGAGCGGAACTTCACAAACATGAAACAAACCGGAAACGGAAGTAGGCGGGTACAGCTGGTACCTCTGGTACAAGCCTGTTTGCAGAAGCAGAAGGAACACTGCAGACTATCGAAATATTTGGTTTTTGAAACATTTTGGACATAAAAGTTCTTCGACGGGGAGAGGCTTTGGTCTCCCTGCACTCAGAAGAACACAGGCCTGGGCAGCATTGGGTGACATTGCCACATCTGAATGAGGAGCAAAGCTGACCTGGATGACAGCAGCTGTGAGTGTTTCCTGCTGTGGCTGCTGTGAGACACACTGCCTGTCATCTCACTCTCCTGCTCACTGAGAGGTCACCATACTACAGCACACAGTAGAAGCTGCCAAAGCCTGGGGAAACTGGGTCAAGTGCTTCAGAAACAAAGGGTTTTCGAAGTGGGTTCTTCCTTGTCTTGAAAATAGAGACACAGTGTAGGGGTTATAACCCAGGTAGAGTCCCTGGTATGCTTGAGACCCTGGATTGGATACACACACACACACACACACACACACACACACACACATGCCCAGACACACAGCCATACACAAGCACACATGCACACACACACACACACACACACACACACACACACACATCAAAATGTATTAAGGAGAAAACAAAACTTCTAACAACAAATGTTACTACAGAGAAGCAACAGCCTTTATTCCACAATTCTGCACATTTGATTCACTTGTCATATTAAGGAGTAACTAATTCTCTAGAATGTGTTTTCAGTGAAGTCAGTTACAGACTCAAAATTAAAACCGAGTCTAATGAATCACTCTTTCTTTTCCAGCCCCTTGGTCTCCACTTGCAAAGGTTCTAGTACTGAAACTTAGAATTTTTTCATAGGAGGTCAAATGGAAAAACAGAAAAAAAAAAAAAATACAAGATCTCAAATCAGAAGACTCAGACCCAGATTTCTGCTTCTCCCACCTACCAGTCTGTCTGGATACTTCCAGACCTCAAGGAAGCCTCAGCTTCCTCCAGCATCACTGAGGGCTCTGAAAGTGCGGTATTCAGCGTTTCTGCCATCAGGCTAACACACTCCAGTGCCTCACGCTGCTCTAGGCCGTCCCAGTCCCCCTAGAAGGCCTGGAAAACATGAGAGAGCCAGAAACAGGGCGTGAGGTCCACAGTACACAATGCTGTGTAAGGCAAAGGAGCACACCCTAAAATGACAACAGGCTGTGAACCTCATCAGCACATAACCCAACCACAATTGTAGGTCACATATCAGGCGCTTCCTGTGTCTCTGTGGCCAGAACAGAACGGGTTGCCAGTAGCTCCACGCACACCTGAACTGGAGGCAAGATCAATGCTTCAGCTGCAACTTTAGGGGACAACAGATGATTCAGTCTATAACCATAGTCCTGGACTAACCAAAGTTTAACTGACACCAGGGCTTAGTGTCACATGCCTACAATGCCAGCACTCTGTGAGACTGAGGCAGGAAGTTTTCAAATTCAAGCCAAATAACCTTTTTTTTAAAAAAAAAAAAAAAGTCTGCTAAAAAAAAAAAAAAAAAAAACCTACATCTACATCTAGGGATGTAGTTCAATGTGAAGGCCCTGAGATCAATCCCCAGGACCAAAATAAATAATTTTTAAAAAGGAAAAAGTAAAGTTTAACTGGAGGTAACATGTATGAAGGCACATCCTGTAAAAATGCCAGTGATAAATCCAGACTGCACAGGTAGCAGCTTGTTTTGGTTTCCAATACGTAACCATCAAGTTTGTTTCAACTGCCGGGTGGTGTGGGGTTCAAGGGAGATCACTCTCAGCTATGACTGAAAAGTTCAACATGCAGACCCCTCGTTCTGTTCTCAGAGGCCTGTGTGCACAGCCTGCAGGTACCTGTCTGAGCTGGACACCAGGCAGCACCTCTGCAGTCGGACTTGAGCAGCACACAGCTTGAGACATGCAGTGTGGGCCACAGGCAGGCCAGAGAGCAGAGCATGCATACAGGGGCCTCAAGCAAGTTCTGCTTGATACAGGAACCTGCACCCCACCAAAAGACAACAAACTAGGCATGCAGTTACCGGATGGACATGCGAATCTTACTGTTGAGAAGCAAGATTGGGTTCAAGAACTTGAAGTGCAGTGGTAAGGCACGACAGGAGTAGATAGACATCCTTGGAGAGCTGGGTCACATCCCGACAGTTAACAGAGAAGGCACAGGAGACCAGTGTTGTAGACAGGGTTTGCAGGGAAAACAATTTAATGCAAGGCACATAATTTTAGAATTATTTTATAATAGTCACTCAAAGAGTCAAACTCAGGTAGGAAATCTGTCCACATACTAAAACCCCCAAAAAATTCAGCTGAGGGCCTGAATCCCATGGCAACATCCTGAATGCATCTAGCTGAAGACCTGGAGCCCACGACAATGATTCATGCTAGTCTGTTTCACAGATCTGCACTGGGAAGGCCCAAAGGTCAGCAGTGAAACTACAAAGTCTGTACCAGTGTGGTGAAGGATCCATGTCAGTAGGCTAAGGGATCTGCACTGGTTTCAGGAAGTCATGTTCAAAGTAAGGACCAGAGCTCCCGTAAAAGGTATAGCCATCCTCAGTGACAACAAGGTCCTGAGCTCCTCCGATGGAAACAACCAAGTTCATATCCAGAAGCCAGTATGAATAGCACCTCTCTTCCCCTCCAGAGCTAGGAAGTGGACACAAGCCCAGCCGGTTGCAGCATCCCTTCTCTGGGCTTCTACTCCAGGACCGCCTACCCCAACTTCCTCCCCATGAAATGCCTGCCAGCAGCTTCTCCAGATCCAAGGTAAGAAGGCTCTCCTACGGTTTCAACAGACTAATTTGGATACTTTAAAAGCAGCTGCTTGGCAGCCAACTAATCTGTCTAAACAGAGGTAAGTTGGGGGCCTGACAAGGCTCTATTCATATTGTTGGAGCGTCTCCTAGAGACATATATCCAGAGGTGCCTGAGAATTGACAGGCCCTAAATATCACCTTTGTCTCCCAGTGGGCCCCAGGTATTACAAAAAAGCTTCAAAGGCTAGAAAGATTCAAAGGTAAGATACTCTCAGAGTTAGTAGAGATTGCTGAAAAGGTCTTCAACAGACAAAAAGATCCATCTGGACCTTTAACCTGGGCTGAGTTAGAGGAACAAGCTTTCACCGATTTAAAACAAGCTCTTGTAAATGCTCCAGCCCTTGCTCTCCTGACGTAGCCAAACCTCTCCAATTGCATGTGGCCGAGAGTCATGGAATAGCAAAAGGGGTCTTAACCCAGTTCCTAGGACCCTGGAAGAGGCCTGTTGCCTATCTTTCCAGTGATTAGACCCCATGGCTTCAGGGTGGCCAAATTGCCTATGGACAATTGCAGCCACCACAATACTCACCAGGGAAGCCACTAAGTTAACTTTTGGCCAGAGATTCCAATTAGTGGCCTCACATGCTGTGGAGACACTAATGCAGTCGCCTTCTGATAGATGGTTTCCAATGTTCACATTGTCCAGTACCAAGCCCTATATTGACCACATCAAGTTCCTGTCTACCTCTGCCCCAATCCAGCGACTCTCCTGCCTGATGATGACCCCTCAATGCCGATACATAATTGTATGGACATTATTGACTTGGTTTCAAGCCTGTGAGCTGACCTGACAAATGGCCCACTTGCCCAGCCTGAAGCCATGCTTTTCACAGACAGGAGCAGTTACCTCTACCAAGGTACTCGAGTGGCAGGAGTAGCGCTGACTACTGATACTGAGGTAATGTGGGCCCAAGCTTTAGGGTCAGGAACTTTAGCTCAGCGGGTCACTCGAGTACCTTGGAGGAATCTCTAAATTCCCTGGCTGAGATGGTCTTTCAGAACCAGTGAGAACTAGACCTCCTATTCTTAAAACAGCGAGGTCTACACCTAGCCTTTGGTAAATCTTATTGGTTTTACACCAACCATTCAGGAGTTATTAAGCAGAGTCTTAATCAGCTCAGAATGTGCCTAGCTGATAGGAAAAATGAGAGACGTCATCAACAGAGTTGATATAAAAATTTGTTCTCCACCACCCCATGGCTGACCACCCTGCTCTCAGCTCTGGGAGGACCCCTGATTTTGCTGGCCATTACTATTGGCCCCTGTACAATAAACTGTTTAATGCATTATATCCAAAGCCAAGTCCAATAAATTAATGGTTATATGTTCCCAATACTAGGATTTGCAAATTATAGGTTAAAAAAGATGACTTTTAGAAAAAGTCTCAGGAATCAAGGGTTTGATTCATGTACTAAAACCAGTGGGGAATGTTGTGGCTTGGCATAACTGACGCCATATTGAGCCCTGCATTTAACCAATGCCCTGTACTTGACCCAGGAAAATGGAAAATTACTCAGGGTATAAATCCCATGAGAAAAGCAGAGTGAGCTATACCCACAGGAGAAAAATTAACCTGGTCAATGAAGGAAGCAGGATACAGGTGTCAACCAAAAATTAACGTAATATTCCATCTAAACTGTTTCCAACAGGATGTCTTTTTGTGGTTCTCTGCTTAAAAGCTTTGTAATTTTCCAATTCAGGGCCACTCGGTAAGACTCTGAAATGGGTCCACGCAAGTGGTCGCTGAGCTCGGCTAATTAAATCCCAAATTTATCAGTTTGGCTGATTGGATTCCTGTATTGTTTATGAATCCACTTCACTCAAAGTAAGGATCAGAACTCTCCCAAAGTGAACCACAGCAATTCTCAGGGACAAGGTCCCAAGCTCCTCCAATGCTAACAGCCGAGTTCTTATCAGGAAAGAAGCTCAACCAGCTCCTTCATGAAAACCAACAATACCACCTCTTCCTCTTTATTTCTTCTTTTTTATATTGTTTGCAACAATTCCCTGGTAGATGGTCCACACATAGCACCATGCTGGTTCAGTTCAGCTGGATGTTACAAGCTGACCACCAGTTGTAAATCCATCACAACCACCTTGAACAGAGAATAAAAGTGACATTGCCTGAAGAATTAAGCACAAAGCCAAGGATGGTATCCTTTGTGCAGCAGTAGATTCTGGGTGTCCTCAGGCAAGGCAGTGACCAGTGAAAATATTTTGAAGCAATAGCCCTAGATTTAAACCAGTATCTTTTAGGGTACCCAGGCTCATTTGAGAGAGAGGACTATAATTGATTTCTTTTTAGAAAAATGAACATACTACACTGTCCAGACTAATAGCTCCCTGGCATAGCCTCTACAGAGCCTGCTCCCATCTAAAATGCACAGCTGTTTGCAGAAAGCATCTAACTAGCCAAATGTGGTGGCACAAGCCTTTAATCCCAGCACTTGGGAGGCTGAGCAAGAGCGTTGTCATGAATTTGAGGCCAGCCTGAGCTACATAGTGAGTTTAAGGCCAGCCTGAGCTACACAGCAAAACCTTGTCTCAAAAAAAAAAAAGAAAGAAAGAAAGGAAGGAAGGAAGGAAGGAAGGAAGGAAGGAGAAAAAATAAAGAAGAAAGAAAGAGAAAGAGAAAGAAACAGAAAAAAAGGAAAGCAAAGCAAGGCAAGGAAAGAAAGCATTTAACCAGGAACTCCGTCTCCCCATTTCCTCACCCCTTGCCATGCCAATGAGTTTGAGCCACCAAGCCTGGAGCACAATGGCTGACGATGGCATCATCATGAAAGAACACCCCCACTCTCTCTTTCTTCCCTGGGAAGGGTGTTGACACACTGGACCACGCCACTGCAGGGCCTTCCTGGGCCTGTTTCCTGAAGGACTCCACAGAAATTCCCTCCCTTGCACCATTGCCTGCTTCCTCTCAACTCAAGCATTGATCATCCAGTGTGTTACATCACTGGTACTCTGCAGTGTATCACAAAGAATAACTAACTTTATCCTCCATCACGTAAGGGCTGGAGGTGGCTGTTTACATATCACACATGAGTGTGCACACTTATGGGGTACAGAGCTCACAGAACACTAATCACCCAAATGTATCGTTTCTTTGGCAGAAACATTCAAAATCCTCTCCGTTGGTTACATTGAAATCTATCTGTTGTCAACCATGGTTTACCTTATTGTGCTATAGACATTGGGAGTTATCACATCTCTCCAGCCGTACCTGTGTACCCATTCACCATACTTTCTACAGCTCCTTACCCCAAAATGCAAAATATTGGTAAATCTGTTGAATTCTTGTACATTTAACTCCAACTCCTTAGGTCTGGGAATTTTTGGTTGCTTTTGTTTGTATCTAATGTTGGTTTGTTTTTGAGTTATGAGGATGGAGTCCAGAACGTGTGCATGGTAGGGAAGCATTCCACCACTGAACCTAGCCCTTGCCCAGAAGGGTTTTTGTTTTGGCTTGTGTGTTTGTTTGTTTGTTTGTAGTACTGGAGACTGAACCCAAGGCCTTCACACTGGTCTACACTCCCAGCACCCCTCTTTTTTAAGACATGATCTCACTAAGTTGCCCAGGCTAGGCTTGCACTTGCAGTTCTCCTGCTTCAGTCTCCCAGAATGCCACTGCACACCTGGTTCAGCCTGGGAGTTTTATACATTTTTAGATTTAGCCAGACACAGGATGAAGTGTTGGCCCTGTTATGAGCCCCTCAGCTTCCGAATTCAACAGTATGAATTTGCAAGACTCCAGGGTCCCTACTACTTCCACAGGGTCACAAAGAGTAGGCAAGCTAGTTATCTTTAAACAGTTTCTTATGATTTTCTCAATGTTTGGTCCCTAAGACTGTTTTTTTTAAGAAAAAATCTTAAAGCATGGCTTGGTGGTGCACACTTATAACCCCTGTGAGGCTGAGGCAGAAAGATCGAAAGTTAGAGGCCAGCCTAGGCAATGCAATGACTTAGTGAGACCCGGGCTCAAAATGAAAGTAAAAAGCACTGGAATGCAGCTCAGTGTGAAGGCTACATGCACACAAAATATTTTGTTGTATCATTTAGGGTGGCCTTGAACTCCTGGGCCAACCAGTCCTCCTTCTTTAGTCTTCAAAGAAGCTGAGACTGCAGAAGCATGCCACCTCGCTCAACTTCTCATACTTTTACAAGACCTCAGACATCAAAAGCACGTGAATTTTAAAGTATTTACAGTCCAAAGGCAAAGTCTTAAATATTTTCAGCCCAGAATTCTTGTAGAGAAAATTAGTTATCCATAAATTTTGGTTCTGAGCACTTGATTTAGCTACACATATACTAAAATTGGAACAATACAAAGAAGCCTAGCATAGTCCCTGCACAACGGTGATGACACCCAAATCCATGAAGTGTTCTGTTTTGCTGTGTACAAAAAATCTGGCTCAGAATTAGGTATTAAAAGTGACTGCTGAGTAGGACATACACACAGCACAAAAGAGTTTCTGAGGAATCATGGACAGAAACAGAAAAGCCCTTTTTACCAGGGCCATAAGAAGAGTCATGTTGGTACAGATCTATAATCCCAGTGACAGAGGCAGGAGGATGACAATCCAGAGACCTCCTGGATTGTACTGTGAGGCACTGTCTCAAAATTTTAAAAAAAAAATCAAGGTATCAGGGTATGGGCAGTGCCCCAAATGCTCTAAATTAATTGATTAGTCAGAAGCCAGAGAACCGAATATATCTTTTAAAGAGAAAATCACCACAGCACATTATTTCAAAGCCAGTCTTCCTGACCAGCCTCTTCCCTCTCACTCATTACCCTTTTGTGTGAGGTTTTACCCAAAGTAAATCATTCTTGTTTGAGTTCTGTAGAGAGAAGAAAGGTGTTCTCACCATTAGAGGAGTGGAAAAATGGTAATTGTAAAAATGAGGCAGTGTTTATGAAAAGCAAGGCTTAGTCCAGAGGATATTACCATTAGGACCAAAGAAAATTAGGAACTTTAGTTAACAACACCCAACACAACTGAGGCAGGAGATTAGGATGTGGCCAGACATCTAGGCAAGTGAGTATGACCTGCCCATCATGGAGATCTAGGACACATGCCCAGGCAAAGTTTCCGTGCTCTGTATCTGGGGCCAACCAGAAAGTGCTATCTTTAATTCCTCTAGAGCAAGATCAATCAAGTACTTGATGGGATGACCTTGATTTGACATCAACCTGAAGAATGGGGGCTGCAAAAGACATCAACTGTTAACTTGGCGGCTACTATGAGCTTTTTTAGTGGTCTGCTTGCATTGTGCAGTGTGTTCTAGCATAAACCTATGTCCTCTAGCATCTGAACCATCATGGAAGCTACAAGAGAACATAGAGTACATCCAACTAAATCTTGTTAAATGAAAAATAGGAGGGCATCACTTTGGATAAAGCTCCTGCACTGGGCCCCCACAAACCAAATAAAACATCAAGATGGTGTCACTGTTGCTGAAGTTTCACCTCACTAAATGTAAATCTGGTTCTTACCTAACTTTGGAGAAACCAGGAGCAAGCGATGACAGGTGAATTTCCAGACAAAACAACTCATGCTAGCAGGGGAATAAAATCCTTTCTACCATAATTAATACTCACCCCCCAAAAAGTGACCTGAAACAACTTCACTTTAACCCATCTGTGATCTTTTAATTTTTCTGTTTTTCTGGCCAACTACAATTACAGAGAAAGAAACTGAAACAACCAATACTCTCTGTGTTCTTTGTTTCTGCTTTTCTCAGACCTTCTTTGTTTATAAAGTCAAACTCCTCTAGTCAGCCCACTGGAACATTTGCCCCACTTTATGGAATGAAGCACTGTCAAAAAGTCAATTCTGTCCAAAATGAGCTCATGTCCTCACAACGCTGAGGAATGAAGTCATGAACCAAAAGGAGGAAGCTAGAGCTTTTATTGGAAATAGGAAGAAAAATAAAAAACGTTCCTGGTTTCTACAAAAGGGGAATCTGGGAAGTGGCCTTCAACTCATGGCCATCCTGCTTGCACCAACATGCCCCGCCCACTCCATGAATTTAAAACAACCAATTGGAGCCAAGGCTCTCTACTCCAGTTACACAGCATGTAGAGTTTATAGAAAACTGGGAGTTTTAAGGGGGAAATAAACTGGTTATTTGACAATTAAATTCTTCAAAATTCAAGAGCTTAGTAGGGAGGGGCTGTACCTCCCTTTCGTAAAGAGGAGGCCACATGCCCTATTGCTGAGGAACCTCATTATGGTCTTAAACTTAGTTTAGTATCTGTTCTTATTTTAGTTCCCATCAATACACTGGTCACCAAACTCTATCTCAGGCTTTTTCCCTAGTGTTACTAGGTTTTGGGGTTCTGGAGTCTCCTTCTGGAGGTGGTTTATAGATTCTTTGTGTCCTGAGCAAAAAATTAGTCAAGATGAGAACAAATGGTAATGAAGTTTTATTAAATGTAGGAAAAGAAATAGGATCTGCAGAGTGAGTTTGGGCAGAGGAAAAGTAGGAAAAAAACGTGCACCCTATAGCATGAGGAAGGCACCATGAAAAAGAGAACACAGCAGCACAAACTCAGTGTGGACCGTCCTTCCTGTGTTACCCACTCCTCAAGCCAACGTCAGGGCTGACCGTCTATGGAAGACCTGCTCCAGTTCTCTGGAGAAGTTCAGGTGCAAGGCTTTGGAAACTGTCCTGTGTTTACGTTCCAGAATCTAATTAACAGATCACACTGCTTCCCCTGCCAGCTTTGCCATGCCCTCATGTCCTGTCTCCTAGTTAGCTGCCTTACTCACAAGCTAATGAAATAAACTAAAATTGGGGTTGTCAATTCTAGATTTGAAAAATAAAGCTGATTAAAATCTTTAAGTTAAATCTATTGACAACTCTTATTTTATAAATGAAGAGGCTAACTCCTGACATAATATCCACCAAGAATAAAATCAACTTAATTGAGAACCAAGAAAATTACATTTATTCAGGCTAATTAAGATTGCAATCTGGAAAAACACAGACTGAGCAGTCTTACCAGTATGTTCTCACACTGCACAAGATAGAAGCAGTATCTATATATTTTTTGTTTAGTTTTGCTTGTTTGAAATAGGGTCTTTCAATGTAACTCAGGCTGCCCTTGAACTCACTATGTAGCCCAGGCTGATCTCAAACTCATGGCTAACTCCCTGCCTCAGTCTCCCAAGAGCTGGGATGACACTAGCTGCCATGTCTGGATAGTACTTACAGCTTTAAGCCACAGGAGATTTGTGAATTATACTACTTATTAATCAGGAATTACAACTGGTGCTGGCAGAGGTTTAGCTGTCCTATATGAATGGGGTTATCCAAGGATGTCCACCATATTCATCTTATTCAACATAGGCCTGCAAACTTTAGCTGGGGGAATTAGATAAGAGAAAGAAATAAGAGGGGGAAAGATAAGAAAGGAAGAAGTTAAACTATTATTATTTGTAGATGACATGATACTCCATATAGAAGAACCCAAAACTCTACTAAAGGATGTTTAGATTTAATAAGTAAATTAGGTAACACAGAAGACTACAAAATCAACACTCAAAAATCAATAGCCTTCTTGCACATAAATAATAAACTCACTGAGAGAAATCAGTGAAACATATCTGTTACAATAGCATTCAAAAAAATGAAATACCTAGGAATCGATCTAACAAAGGATGTAAAAGACCTCTACGTTAAAAACTATCATACTCTGAAAAAGGAGATTTAAGAGGATATTAGAAAATGGAGAGATATCCCATGCTCTTGGGTAGGAAGAAACAATACAGTGAAAATGGCCATACTTCAAAAACTGTTACACAGATTCAGTGCAATCCCAATCAAAATTCCAACAGCATATCTCACAGAATTAGAGAAAACAATGCTAAAATTCATCTGGAACAGAAGAGACATACAATAGCAAAGGCAACCCTGGACAACAGACACAAAATAGAAGACATTATATTCCCTGACTTGAAATTGTACTATTAAGCTACTGTGATAAAAATAGCATGGTATTGGTTAAAAAAAAAAAAGACGCAAAGATCAACGGATCACATTAGAAGATGTAGAAACAACTCTAGACATACTAAGCCACCTTATCTTTGACAAAAATGTCAAATATATTCACTGGAAGAAAGGCAACCTCTTTAATAAATGATGCTTGGAAAACTGACTCTACACATTTTGAAGATTAAAACTGGACTCATGTCTTTAACCATGAACTAAACTAAAATCAGAATGGATCATGATCTTAATATTAAAACAGAAAAATTAAATCTGCTGGAAGATAGAGTACGTAAAACTCTTGAAGACATTGGTGTAGGCAAAGACTTTATGAATAAAACCCCTATTGTGCAGGAATTATCACAAAGAATCAACAACTGGGATCTCACTCTACTGAAAGGCTTTGGCACAGCAAGAGAAACCAACAATAAATTGAAGAGACAACCTACAATACGGGAGAAAATGTTTTCCAGCTGTGCCTCAGATGAAGGATTACTATGGAGAACATATAAAGAACCAAAAAAATCAGTCCCGCAGTATTTACAGACCCAATCCAAAATGGGTCATCCCAAATGAAGAAATATGAGCAGCAAATAAATATATGAAAAAATGTTCAACATCACTGGTCATTCAAGAGCTATAAAATAAAACAACACTGAGATTCCACTTCACCCCATAAAGAATGGCTACTTTCAAGAAATCAAACAATAACCAGTGCTGGTGGAACTGTGTGGGAAAAGAAACCCTTCTCCACTGTTGGTGGGGGAGTAGATTGGTGAATCCACTGTGGAAGTCAATGTGAAGATTCCTCAAAAAACTAAGGCTAGAGGTCCCATTCAACCTAGCTATTCCTCTTCTGGTTATCTTCCCAAAAGAATTAAAAACATCGTACCACAGTGATATATGTGCATCCATGTTTATAGCAGCACAATTTATAATAGCCAGATCTTGGAAACAACCTAAATACCCATCCCTAACCTAAATGCCCAGTAATACTCAATTGTATAAAAAAGATGTGGAATTTTTATTCAATGGAGTAGTAGCCATAAAGAAGTATAAACTGGAGACTTTTATAGATAAATGGATGCAAACTGAGACCATACTTATATCAGACCCATATGTGTAAACATCATACTGTCTTACTAGTATGAGAAGCTGAAACAACATATGTATAAGTATATAATGTATATGTATATATGTATATAAAAATAGTTAAGATAGTTATACTACTGATTTCTCTGAGTTCACTAGAGAATGATTTGTGCTGGTATTGTTTGGACAATTGAATGCAGATGTCTTGTGCTCTGAGTGAATAATTTGAGGATGCCAATGCACAATGAATGTACCATTGTTTCCCCCAATTGACATACATTGAAATTTCATTTTTTTTCTCTTTGAAATA